ACCCCCCCCCCCCCCCCCCCCCCCACACACACTTTTCATTACCAGAATATTTTACAGGTATAGTATTGGGTGGGACTCTGTGATGCTTACAGTAGGGCACTTTCAGCAATGGGCTGAGTGCTGTGAGATGCGTATTCGCACGCTACCAGTGGGCCTTATGCACACTTGATGTGTGGTGCATGATTCAACATTTATCAAGAGTCTTCCATCATGGAAGCCAGGAAGAAAATAGGCCAGCAACAATTTAATAAGAATAAACAACCTAAGACTTCTTAAGTCCAAGGGACTGGAAGGGCAGAGTTGTTGGAGTCTGTTTGAAACATTTAATCCTGAACATGGCACTCAAGTACTATGATGTCATTTCCCTTAGCAGCATGTTTGTTGGTTAGTACTGGGTTTCTTTGATGAATAACTGAGGCACTCTCTGCATAGTTCTTCATGAGATGAGATTTCAGCTGGCTGTTCTGCTGTGTGCTAAAGCTAGGCAGTGAACAGAGATGGCATGAGCAGAAGAGTTGCCTCCCCAGCTAATGCTTGAATTCCATCCAAGGTCAGAAGACTTTCCCTTTCATGTGATACGTTTGCTTTTCATCCAGACAGGGCATGGGAATTGGTACGGGCTTGACATAACATTGTCTTTCTGATTGGTTTGTGTAAACCCATCTCCTTGGATATTGAATAAGTAGTGGGATGTGAAAAGGCACAAAAACCAGAGGAAACCTAGAAGACTGTTTTAGAATTAGGATTCCAAAACATACTGCTTTTCCTTTTGTTCAGAACATGAAAGGAAATTTTTGTGCCTGGTGCTTGCTGGTCAGTGGAGCAGTATTAATTTCCCCTCTGGGGGCAAGTCACTCAGCTGGGGATAGAATTGATTCTTTAATCATGTTGGCTTCAGAGGAGGGGTTGTATGAACCAATCCATCCTAGGAAGGCAGTGAAGCTTCCTTAAGGTATTAGGGCTCAATTAAACTGTCTGGCCCTAATGGGTAAACCATAATGCACTTTGAAGGGTTCCCCCATAGAGGGAATTTGGAAATAATCAGAAAATCAATCCACAACTAGAAGGGAAAAAGCCCAAGGGCAGAAGTCTCCCTAATACATTTGCTTTGTGTAGTGTGACACTTGATGTTCAGATTCTGTTAGGGAGAAAAATGAAAAAATGCATGAAGTGCACAGTTCTGTTCCTGGCATTGCATTAAGAGTGTGTTTGTTTTGTTTAGTTTTGTTTTTTTCCATCCTTTATACATATGTTCTATTATGTCATCCAAAAATGTCTGTGGTCAAAGCCTATTGAAGGTATACAATTAAGGACAAGCCAAAGTTGAAGCTGCATAATGTTACTTTTAGCTTTGTGCCCCTTCTTCATATGAATAATTATGGGCTTTAATTAATCAACCTCATACTTTTAAATTTTTAGTATCTTCATAGTCTAATATCCTTGTCTACATGCAAGTAGACTCCTGTTCATTTTTTATCAAGTTCAAATTTTGCAGAGATTCAAGCATATACTTATTTGTGTGCCCTTAATGCAGAAAGATAAGCATGTACATCTTTGCAGGATCAGCCTTATGAGCTGATTCAGCTCCCATTGAACTGGATGGGAAATAGACTAGAACCTCAGTGAATATTATTCCACGTATTAGGTGCTCTGATTCAGTGGTTAAAACCTGGTCTACAAGCAGTCTCCTCAAATGTGCTAGAGGACTGCTGTTCTTGAATGGTATTTATAGACGAGTATAGTGAGAGGAAAGAGGCTTCTTGAAATTACCTCTGACTTGAGATAAGTCACTTAACTTCTCCTGTCTCAGTTTATCTACCAGTAAAACGGGCACAACTGTAGTTCTCCACCCATTTACAGTAGTGTGAGACTCTGTATTAAAAAAACTCATAATTTAGTATGGGGATGGTGCTACAAGAATTAAAATGCTTTTAAGTTACTGTTATCTTTTATTGTGTTACAAAGGTGTACTTTATACAAACTGAGAAGCGTTGACATAATGTACAAAGGGATGCATGCATTATTTTCCTTCTGCATCTGATTCTCAGAAGAATTCTGTTAGCCCAGTCCAGCACGTTTCCCTAGCCATTCAGGTTTTGGATTGTGGTGGGTATTGGGTATGTGGCAGACCAACACACGTAGGAAAGGTCTGAGCTTAGCATAGAAGGAAGCGCAAGACCCTACCTTGGAAGGGGTCTTAGGGCATGTGAAACCAGCTCTTTGTATTTTATACTTCCTGGCTGAGAGCAGTGACGGTGTTCAACTGGTAACAGGACCATCTTTGTGGGTTTCAAAAAACTTGTGTTTAAGATACTGTTGGGGATGGGAGAGTTGCTCACCATGTCAGCGTGAGGACACAGAGGGAGATCCCTGCCTACGCCATGGCTATGGCGAAGCATAATGGCTATCTGTATCTGGGTGGAGGAACTTCTCTCTTCCTCATTCTAAACATTTGTGCACATGTATTATTTTTTTAAATCCCTACCCAGTTTGGCTCAGAGATTCCAGTTCCTTTTTCTCTCTTGCCCTAGGTCTAGGACCTGTAAACTCAAGCCAATAACCTCTTTCAGTTTTGTTTTGTTTTTACTGGATGATTTAATCTTGTAAAGAATCATCTCCCTGTAGTAATGGACCACCTAGGAACTCGTGGAGAATTCCTTGAAGCCTTGCCCAACTGCTCTAACTGCATTATGGGGTGATCAGTAACTCCACTTCTCAGAAGGCAGTGGTTGGGCAGGAGTTAATTCCCTTTCAGGAGAGAGGTTTCCAAGGCCAGAATGCTCTTAAATCTAGCAGACAAAGTCCTAGCAAAGTCTACTGGCTGGAAACTGAAGTCGGCAAAGTTCAGATAATAAGGTATACGTTTTAACAGCGAGAGTAATCAGATATTGGAATAGATTATCACAGTATCTGGCAGATTCTCCATCCCAAGGACTCTGTAAATAAAGATTGCACAGCTCTTTGAAAGATGTTTTAGTTGCACCAGAGACTGCTGGGATAGCTGGGCTTGTTATGCAAAGGGGTCAGACTGGGTGATTGTAATGGTTCCTTCTGACCTTAAAATCTTGATTCTGTTAAAGAAAAAAAAAAGCTGCAAAATCCATGGAGCTCATGAAATTCCTGTTAGCTGATATAGTCTAGGTAGGTGGATTATTTCAACTGAATCTGAGCCCCTCTTTGCATGTTATGTAAGAGTATTGCTGGCTACCTGCAACAGTGAGACACTTATTTTGCCTATGATAGATTCTTGTCTGTCTCAGGATTGAAATCGGTTTCTGCATCCATATTTCCAAGACACTTAGCCACAATGATGGTTTGCTTCTGTGTTTTTAAAGGGAGGAATATTTTGCTTTAACTGAGAATTACATTTTCTATAAGATAGGTAAGGTGGTCTCTGAACAAAGCACAGTAAATAAATGAAGTAGATGCTTTCCCAGTTTATATTCAGTTTTGGCATAGTATCGCTTGCCTTTCTATTTTAGTATCTATATTATCCAAAAAAATAAAGGAACAAAGAATGCTTTAAAAAATCTTCTCCTGGAAGAAAAAAAGTAATTACATCTCTTATGAAAATGTGTGAAAAGACAAGCCAGGAAGAAAAAATGTGACAACCGACACTTTTCAGTGCTGGACTTTTCAGAGTATTTGGTTTTAATATTCATAAAGCCTATGCATTTTTCCAGTGTCAGTTGAGAGAAATACAGAGGTATGGGAATTATAAAGGTTTCAGGCAGACTGTCACAGGCACATGGCAGATAGCTACAGAGTATGTTTTGGTTGAAGTGAAAGAATGCTCCTAGGCATTTATTATTGGTAAATTATAATGACTTTCATATTTTCCTTCATCTAGAGAAAGAGTAAATCAATAAAAGTTAAATTCATCTTGCCAGAATGCTCCCTTGCAGTACAAAGATCTGTATATGTCTTTTATTAGATTGAAAAACATTACTTTGTTTGCATTCTTTATTTAACTTTACTATTATCTGATAACACTGAATAACTTGATATTTCGTTCAAGTCCTGTGCCATTTTTCAGCTACCACGTCTAAAAGTCTGCAGACTTTGTTTTTCAGCCCTGACTCAAGTGAATTATTTCAGTGTAACAACTACAGAGCTGTATTCTTGTTTGAAGCCCAGTTTTTTTCTTTTTTTCTCTTTTGTTTTGAAATAAATAAGAAATTTAGATCACCCATGCTTAATTTAGCAATGCTGACTCTGCTTCAAGTTGAACATCTGCCACCCTGTTTGCACCAGGATCTGTAGATTGACAGGCTGGGTTCATATCCTTTTAAGATTAATTTCACAATCAGGAACATGCATTTCCAAACCATTTGCACATTCAGTTCCCCCCATTTGGAACTTTGTGCTGCTTTGTGCGGGCAGTTCACCATTCTCATTCCTGAGCTCTGGATAGTCGAAATCCTGCTTCCAATGTTGTGCACCAGGACAGGTAGCCAGGTCAGTACTCTCTCCCTTTCATTTTTCTTTCCTGCTGCCCCTAACTTCTGTCTGTAGGAGATCTGTGGGGAAAGAAGTCTACCTTAGGTTCTGGGGAAATACTTTGTCTGTCACTACATAAACTGTGGGTTTCATGCAACTAAAAAGGCTAAGTCACAAAGCTAGAAGGTTTCAAAAGTTGCAAAGCAGCTTTCATGAATTCACCAGAAGTTATGTATGGGAAGTTTGCAAGATTGAGTTTCCTGTTTGTAAATGTCGTCTTAACCAAGGAAAGAATCATAAAGATGATAAGTAAAATCTAAGAAGTGCTGTAGAAATAGGAACAATTTACTCCCATTTCAAGCCTGCAGAGGAAAGTAGAGAGCTTTAGTTTATCATAAAAATTGGGCCCAGAAAGTATTGATATGAACTTGCTTCAGTTTGCCTAAATACAACAGTTTCAGAAAGACTTTATTTGCAGTAATTGCAAAGGTTCTTACTATATGCCTGGAGACTCTGCCATCACCATAAGCAAGGAATCCCATATGTCCCCTCTCCAGTTGTCCAGACTTTAATGATTCTTCTGTAGGGAGACAGTGATGCAAATAACTACTACAACCTCGTGCATTATTTTTAGAAGCAATCCTTTGGATACTGAATATTCAGTGACACTACCTATTGCTTGGTATTTGGAACCATACTATACCAGCAAATTAACTCCACTGATAAAATAATGCTGTGCAGAATAAGATAACATTTGTGACCAAAAATGTACCATGTTTGTACTTTAGACGTATTTTATACGTCTAAATATAATACCTAAATATAATACCTGCTAAGGTCCCTTCTGGCCCTAGAAACTATGAAACTATGAAAATGATGTAACCAGAGAAACTCAAATCGTATCCTGCTTAAGATGCTTTTGTTGATATGACAAAAAAAATAGACTTCAATCAAACTTATTGATAATTTTCAGTGAAAGCAGTGAATCCTTATAGGCCTGAACAACTTACGTTGCTTTTTACAGTACTTTCTCCTAGAAAGCAATGCTGAAAATTACCATATGTCTATCTTGCAAACAGCCAGCTAACCTCAACCTTAATCTGCAGTTAATATTTTTTATTAAAGATTTCATATACTGTACATTTATTTTTTTTAATTAAAAGGAACTGTTGTATGATGTTCATAGCAGAGGTTATGCTTAGAAAGCACGTAGCACATTTTGGACGTTACTGCAGTGTAAATTAATAGTTGTTTTCATGTTTATGCCTAAAATGCACATGCAGAAAAAGGGAACAAAATCCTGACTCTTTCTTCCCTTAATGGCTAGTTGGATAAAGAAATACATGTAAGATTGGATTTTGCTTTCTTGTGTATTCCCACTGATCTGACCCTCCAAGTAGACCCCTTGGTTGTAGTGAGACTGTTTGTGTAGGCCGAAGTACTACTTGCTGTTCGTAGAGGTAGCAGAATCCAGCCCACAATATAAAACCTTAATGGTATTTTAGTAGTACTTTCAAACTGTTTTTACTTGTGTTCTTTAAAAGCAGAAAGAAACCAAAGAGATGGTTTGAATGGATCTATGAATTGACCATTTTGACACTGCTGCCAGAATACAGGTTAGAAAAGCTCATAAGGAGGCCGTATTTTTTTTTTTTTT